TTCAGTGGCTCCACTACTGTAAGAAGTTTGGTTGACATTTAAAGAAGAGACTAAAATTTACATTCACGTCTCTTTAAAACAAGACTGTAAGTATAACTTGTTTGAAGGGGTAGGTGTCGGTGAAGCCGCTGACTAAAAAGTCATGTTTTTATATTTTTCACTTTAACTACTTACAAAATTTGAAACATTTGATTGTCAAAATTTAGCAGGATGAGATGTTCTGTTACTGGAAACATGGGAATCTGCTATTTTTAATTAAAAAACATTATTTTTGGCTTTTGTGGCACTGTATCTTCTGATGCAACCTTTTTATAAAAAAAAAATGTTCAGCTGCACGCAAATGGAAAAAAAATGTAGAAAAATTGTTGACACATCAAGAAAAAACATCAAGAAGTAGATGATACAAATTGTAAAAAAAAAAGTTGTATTTCTGGTCATTTTTGCCTATACAGCTGCAGTTGTCTTATCAGTAAGACATATGCTGTATTAGGGCTGAACGATATGGCCTCAAATCAATATCACAATAATTTGAGCAGTTCACCTCGATAATGATAAATGGACAATAAGTACTACACAAGCTGCTCACCCCCTCCTACATTAACTCCATCTACTTCAGCCGCCGCTCCAGCCGCTAAAACTTTTAAACTGTCCTCCATCTCCTCATAAGAGACGTAGGACAGAGTCTTAAAGGGACATGAGACCATGGCCTACCTACACACATCCAAAAACAACTTTTATTTATTTATTTTTTTGACACTTTATAAATTGACATGGGCAAAATTACATGGGTTATTGTTGTAAATTTCGGTATCGGTAAATTTATCGCCCAGCCCTATGCTGTACACATCGATGTAGTAAATAAGACTTGTATATATCTTTTTAAACTCTAAGTTTCTTTATCCTTTAATTTCTCTTTTTGTATTGGTATTCATGCTGCTGTAATTTAGAATTTCCACCTGTTGGACTAATAATATCCTATCTTATCTAATAGGAGTTGATTGTTCTGGACAAAGAAATGATATTGAAGGATTAAAGTGGCACCTGTCAAACATCAGCGCACACCTGCAAAATGTGTTAATTACAGAGAGCAGGAAAACGGCAGCAAACCCACAAATGTTTCAAGTCTTACATACTCGTACATCATATGTCACAATAATCTGCAGCATGTAACTTTAAATGCACCTGTCCCCACTGTGACTCACTTCACACAGTTTGATTCATGCACGACTCTTTCCACAGATGAAATGCTGCAAATGTCAACATCCACAGAAGCTAAAGTGAAAAATTTGACCTTTGTTTTCTTTCTCTTGAGAATCTGATATTTAGAGATACAAAGAATACCGCAGGACTTTGATAATACGAAGAAAAAGCTTGAGGACTCTGAGGAGTCTTCAGGATAATTTACTTCTTTAATACATGCAACACAAGGAAGCCCGGGCTGGGATAAGGAAAGTTTGACGCTCGTGTCAAAACAGAGGGAAGAGCTGGAACGACCACTGATTCAAATGTTTCTACTTTGGTTTATAAGAGGCTTATTCTGGCAAAAGTAGGGAGGGTTGAGTAATTTCTGGTTTGCAGGAAACATACTCTTCTTGACTTGATTTTTTTCTGGTTATTCCAAAGCTTTAAAAAGAAGAGAGACATAAAAGAAGCGGATCTTGGCATTTCCTTCACCTTCAAGTAAATATTTATGTTTTCATTTTCGTCAGGTAACTCCATTACGATGTTGCATTAACAAGAACTTCAATGGAAGAAATGATCATGAATAATACAGTGCCAAAGATCACAGTAGTAAGGAAAGAATCTTAAACTATTCATCTCCAAGTTCTTTCAAATTTCCTCACCATCACAGAGAACTCAAACAGCCTCGTCTGAAGCCAAGGCCAGACGTGGGGAGTGTCGCAGTCGACAAAAGAAACGTCTTGGCGTTTATGTTTCTACAGCAGCCATGGAAACAAGCAAGAAAGAGTCAAAGAGAGAGGGAACTTCTTCAGAAAAACCTTGAGAGATCTTTGCCGGGTTCAAACCTACGAAGACCAGTTCTTGTGTGTGCTGCAGGTTGACTTAAGCTAAGCCAACGAGTCACAGGGGAAGATCTAGAATTAGGATTTAGGATACATTTTTTGATTTTTTAAAATGGGACAATATTCATCAGTTAGAGTGACCATACGTCCTCCTTTACCCGGACATGCCCTCTTTTTTAGGGCCTGTCTGGCTTTGAAAACCATTCAAATGTCATGGGTTTTGTACGGAAGTTTTGAGTTTGTGTCGCGTTGACTTACTGAGTTAGAAGTGCGTAAAAAAAACTCGATCCAACCCGGAAAACTCTCAAAATTAACTACACACAACTCCGTGACTCTGTCCTGCATAGTTGTGTCCTCTTTTTGGGGATTCAGAATATGGTCACCCTACATTAATAACAATTTACATGTACTGTAAATGGATGGGATTATAGCCAAGTGGCTAATTTCCATCCCTAGGCCCGTTAGCAGGTTAGTGTCAATACATAAAACCAAAACAAACATCAATAATAGGAATGAAACACACAGAGAATATCAGCAACAATAAAGATGACATACAAACCAAAAATAAAGACAGGCTGAGAGACCACACATTGAATCATAAAGTGCTGGAGTGCTAACTTAAGTGCCATAGTGCTACAGTGCCTGTGTCCTGGCAAAGTCAAATATTACTCTGCTGCATTTTCATGTTTTCTTTAATGGGAGAAAGAAGTGTGGATAGAGCCGAAAACAGAGAGACAGGAGAATGATGTGCAGTAAAGGACCAGACTCCGGTTCATGAATGTGTACATCGGCCCCTAAACTTAACTGGTGGTCTCTCTTTAAAGTGTAAAAATATGAACTAGAAAACAACCTCTTTTGGAGACTTTTATGCTGTTAGTATGAGTACAATTGGTGAAGAGATAAAAGAATGGAACATGATATTTATGGCCACAATGATCATGGGGTAAGAATCTAATATCGTGACGGCCCCACTTGGAACCAAAATGGACTGACTGAGCAGATTTTTATCTTCTTTGTGTTTCCCAGTACTTTGTTCAGCTAAGAAAGGCTCAAATCAACAACATGCAAATCTAGTTTGAGTGCATGACTTTATATAAAGTTCTTTTTACTTTGATTTAGGTTAGATTTAGGCCAATCTGAGGGCCTGTCAGCAACTCTCTGACAAAGATACAGTTTCTATTTGTAAGTTTCCGGTGGTTAGTGATAAAGGATTGGGATTCACTTTTTTAATGTTGCCTTTGTGATCAGCCAGACTTCGAAAGGAGGTGAACTTGGATGCAGACATCTTTTAATAAACATGATTTGAAACTGTCTATACAATACATAACATAAGAGTTTGAAGGTGGTTTTAAGTGGGTTAAATTCCCCTCGTTTTTGGTCCCCACACTGACTCTTTATCACTGAAATAGTAGTGGATGGTAATAATCTTTGAACGAACCAAAACAGAAAAATTCTTGAACCAAAACACGACCCTGAGCCCATAGACTCATTTTTTTTCTACGATTAGTAAATGAATAACAAATTCGACTGACAATGAAAGGTCTTGTGAGTTACTAACTAGTTTGATGAAAGGTCAAATAACTGAAGGTGACGAGTATAAAAAATGAAAGTCATTCACCCTCAAATCATCCACCCATCCTGTTAAAAGAATTTCACAATCATTGTGTCAAATAAAGTTTGAATAAAGTCTAATCTGAGAAAAAGATTTCTACACAAACACAAGCCTCTTTCATCCCCAGCCGTCTCATGTTTTCTGCCCGCGCTGCTTTCAGGACTTTCAAAGAGACTGTGGGTGAAAACTTGTCTCTGCATCCTCTTTGATGGATTTCTCCCTGTACATTTGTTGGACATCAGACGACACTGGTTCTTTTTTTCTTTTTATTTCACTGGCTGGATGGTGAAACCTGTTTCTTGTATTGATGTTTTACATCATTTAAAATGTTTCTTTCCCAACAACACTTGGCCTAAAAACACACATTAAGAATTTATGTGATTTATAGTTTGGGAACTACAAATCAAACAACAACATTAACTAAAGAAAAAATCTATTTTATGTGTCTTTTAAATAAATCATTGTGGTTTAAGATTTATTTTAAATGCAGTATTAAGGGGAGTCAGGTGTTTGTTGGGGCTCCAGGTGGTCAGAAAGTCTTTATATAATAATATATAAAGCCATAAAAGTGGCTTCAATAAAACATGTCTAAACATATTGTACTGTGCCATTACTCCTGTGGGTTATAATACAATATTTGAATGACTGTTATACCCAAAAGTTTTCATTACCTGCAGGTTTTGATTCCAATCAGAGGTATCCAGGTGAGTAACAGTCTCTCCCTCTGAGGCTCCAGCGTTGGTCATCGGTTCAGCTGGTCAGCTGCTGCTGCTGCCACAGGGAGCTAGACTGACCTCTTGAGGTGAAAAAAGGAAATAAACCTCAGCAGAGAGTGTGGGAGCAGCAACATCTTTAAAGCAGACAAACAAAGGTGGGTCAGTGCAGTTTGTGTGGATGAAAAAGCAGCAGTATCTTAATGAAAATGAGAGACCTACTGGTGCAGGTGACATTTACGTTACAGGAGTGGATCATTCACATATTTTTAACCATATAAAACCTGTTACTGTCATCATATGCTCTTCCCCTGTAGTCTTGTCTTGTGAGTTTTGAATTTGTGTTTGACTCTATTTCCCTCCTGTTTTCTGTGTTTTATTCTTTATATCAGTTTCCAGTGTTTCCTATTTTATTTTGTAGTAGTTTATTCCTTGTGTTTCTAGTCTGGTTTTACTTCCCTAGTTTTCCCTCCCTCGTTAATCATCAATGAGTTTCACCTGTGTCTCATTTGCCTCACCTGTTGCTCGTTTCCCTGTGTATATAGTCCCTGTCTTCCCCTCTGTCCTTGTCGGTTCATTGCATATCGATGCTCGGTGATATGTATGCTTGTGTCCCCAGTTGCTGCTTGTGATTTTCACCCCAGTGACTTTAGTTGGATTTTGCCTTTCGGATTTTTTTTGGTTGGACATTTTAAAATAAGTTTTTGTTGCTTTTCATTTAGTTTTTTTTAAATTAATCCTTTTTTTTGGTCTGCATTTAGGTCCTTTTTCCGTTGTTCAACTCTGCTACGTGACACTTACATGAGTACAGTTAAGGGCAAGGAACTTTTTATTTTTTTATTTATTTATTTATTTTGTAAATCAAGCCAAAAACTTCTTATGGCAGCCATGAAAAGTTCACTTCAAACTAGTTAATATTAAACATCATTGTGTTGGTTAATTTATTTAATCCTTTTTTTGGGTCTGCATTTTGAAGGTCCTTTTTTCGTTGTTCAACTCTGCTACGTGACAGTTAAAAGGCATGAGTAAAAAAAAAAAGTGCATGGTTTTAATGAGGGTGCTAACCTGAATCACTAGAATCAGTTCACTAAAAAGATTCGTTCACCAAATCACTGAATCATGTAGCGCTTAGCGGAAGAAGCCTGTGACTCCGACCTTCTGAACTGATACACAGCTGAACAGTTCAGGATTCAGTTGAGATCAAAGCTTCCAGGACTGGGAGACAAGAGTGTTTGGCTGTCTTGCTTTGACAAACAGGTTTGTAAAAATGAACTTGTTTATAAGTCATGATGTTTTAAGTGTACTGTCCTATGGTATGTTATTTATCAGGTCTGCTCGGTAAATTGGGGTCAGTGAGTGATTCGTTCACTGAACGTTTAGAAGAATTCAAACTGAACATGCACCGTTCCCTCGCAAACCGCTGCAATGTTAGGATGCTGTGGGTTTAATGCACTACTTGTTAAACACTATGTTCTATTTCTCGACTTGTGGTGGTAATTAAGCAGTGAAAAAAAAAAAAGGTAGTTTTGTCTGACAAATGATTCCAGAGAGTGTTGTTCAATGTGTGATTCATCCACCACAGGTGTCCGTGCATGCGGTCCCTTGTTCGCCGGCTGCACAACTGGCAATGCTGTTTCTCATTTCAGCTCAACTGGAGTGAGGAACGGACAAATAACTCAAGGAAGTGATTCGGTTCAGTACGTTCACTTAAAAGAGTCGGTTATTTTGAACGAATCGTCCGCGAACGACAAAACACTTTTGTAAGGTCGTTTGTCTATGAAAAAGTACTAGGGCTAACGTTAGTTGGATATTTAAGTTGACCCACCGTACACTGGACAAATTGTTTGCCGCTTAAATGTTAACAGAAGACAGAAGTAACTTCTTGTTTCACTTATCTGATTCTGGCTGGTTAGCGGAAGTCCGGCGATGCACGTCCAAGCGTCTTCCTCGTTGGTGTTCGGCGGCTATTCCTTCCGGTCGGCGGACTCCGTCATTGGAGCTTGGAATCAAAATTTAAAAATTTTAACGGTACCGGAAGAATCGGAACGTTAGTCCCGGTCCCCATCGAGACTCGATGCCCAACCCTACTTATAAGTAAGTTAATATATTTTTATTCACTGACCATAAAGTCATGGTGGCTGGTATCACTGTCTGTCATTATCTTTCATATTTAGCCTGGTAGAGATGCAAAATACACAGTACAGTTAGAGTGGAAAATAAAACAGCTGTCATGGCTGCCACAGGGTGTATTATGATGGTTTCATCTCTAACATCAGGACTAAGAGCTGTATAGGTGATCAGAGGACTGTGATGAGGGGAGCTAAAAACATAAAATCTAAACAGTATTTTAACACAAAAACTGAAATTCTCCCAGGTATTAAATTTGAACAACATTTCATTTAATATCATAACTATACTATAATCAATAACTGGAAAGATTGTACCATACATTTCAAACACTTGAAACAATAGAAAACCATCCAAAAGAAGAAGCTGAAAGTCATGATCAGCTACTCCACTGAGCATTTTTTTTTTCAGACCCAATTTCAACCGTCTGGAACACTATATTTTTAGACGAAATTAAGATGCTGCACTTAAACCCATCATTCGATAACTATTTATTTCAAAAAGCAACTGTGAGTTGCATAACTCATCTCCAAGTACTTAACCAAAATAATTATGAAAGCCGTTGAGCAATATACAGTGTAGTATAGATATAGCCCAGATTAAGATTTAGTCTAAACTTGGTCCAAATTTAGACGTCTAAAAAAACATTAATTTTTAGACCTGTGGTAGCCTGATTTTAGATCAGTCATCTAGGCTACATTTGGGCGTCTATTAGACCTCTTTTAGACCAAAAAAAGCTCAGTGGAACAATACTTAAGTGGAAAATAAAGTTAGTTTTTTCCTTTCAATCAAAAGCATAGGCCGAATTTTGTTCTGAGTATACACAGTTTCAAATGAAACATTTCTACCTTCTTCAGAAAGAGTTTAAACATCTTGAAGTTTTTCTCCATAAGTCATTTTTCATGTCCATACCAGGATGTCTGAAAAAGTACATAAATCTATAACTTTTGTAGATCAGTCCTATTATTCTGAAAACAGTCAAACCACATCTTGCCTTGTCTAAGCCTGCAGCACAAACTCTTGTTATTCCAAATCATGCTAAATCAGGGAGCGCATTATTCATCCCACCAGACTCTGAAAAATGATTTGGTTCCATCTGGGTTTGATCGCCAAATCTTCACAATACTTTTCAGATTTCTTCTTTTTTTTTCTTCTCTTTTTATGGAGCTACATGCAGGGTTTGAAACCCAAAACCCTGTGGATTTATGAGACATTTTACTATGGCTGGAACACTAATGTATTACATACTCGCACATCATTCTGACTGTGACTTATGTCACATGAAAAAATATAGACGCCATAAGAGTTATGGCTCTGGGCTGTGTGGAGAGGTCTGTGAGCTGGTTTGTGAAAATCTAGTTTAGACTTGAAAAGAAGTTTAATACAGGCCATTACTGTCTGAGTATGTTTTATGATCCGAGTCAAGGATCTTTAAAAACCACTTAAAATGCACGGCATGATTCTTGAATTTACATTTTATGATCAATGTCAGAAGTCGGCTGGGGTCTCTTTTATTTCTGAGTGGAATATTATTAGATTTATGGCTCAGTGATGAACTGATTTATGGTTCGATATGGGATTGGAAATGTTATTTGTATACGCAAAATAAATGAAATCAGGATTGGGGTTTTGACTCAAATTCAACCAGTATTGTGTATCTAAAAAGGACTGAAAATGAGTTCGTGTTTTCTTCAATTTGAACCAAAGCAAAATTGTAACATGTCGCATAGAGAGGAAAAGCAATTCTCCAAAAATATCCGCATAATTAAAATGACGGTGTCAAATAACACCACAAAGTAACTCAAGAGAGCGTTGCGGGGATTTCTCGCTGCAAGTTGTCCTTTTTTAAGAGCCTGAAGTGCTGAGTGTTTTTGATGTACTCTGAGGACTGTCACGGGGCGATTTACATGTCAAACTAAAGCAGAATATAATCCAGTGATATGAAATCTCTGAGCCACTGTGCTGCTTTGGTCAGGCTGGATGTATGAGAAGCAGAGGCCTTGTAATCTTTTCACTGTGACTGGCTTCTTGTGTGCGACAACGGGAACGGGGGGGTTAATTACATTAATCCAAAACAAATAAACGTCTGGCAGCTCTTGAAAGGCTGTGGGAAATGGTTGGAGATTGAAGCGACTTTAGAGTCCCCAAACCTCAAGCTTTGATGGTTTTTGCTTGAGTCAGAGACCGAGAACACAGATTGGATGTCCAACTGGAACTGAAATGCTCCTCTTTCTCTCTCTCTTTTTCTTTCTTTCTTTCTCTTCCTCTGAGTATTTTTTCTGCCTCTTCCTCACCCTCTTGCTTTTTCAGCTTTTGCTGCTCACGACTTCCTTTCGTCTCTTTCTCTTTCACTTTTTATCTCTCGTTTCTTTTCTTTCTCTAGAAAAGTTCAGATCTGTCAAAACAAGTGGAGTAAACAAATGATTGATAATTATTGCAGCTAAGCTACGTTAAAATGTATTTTGGTTCCTTTTCATCTCCTTAATGAAATGAGCTTGCTTGTTATTGAAAACAGTTGTTGTTCTGCATCGTAAATCTTGGTATAACTTGTTTTTGGAAGAAATGATCCCAAAATTTCCATTGAGAGTGGTCAACTATAAAAGAATACAACTTTCTTCAACTCAGCTGAACATTTTCAATGATACTTCTAAGCTGCTTTACATGATTTTTAATTCTTTTTTATCTCTTTATTGACTGTTTGACAGAATCTCATTTTGTATCACTCATTTGATCTCCAGAAGAAAAATCTATGTTTTGGAGGGACTTTCCTTACACAGATATCCATGAGAAGAACCCATGTTCTAACATGTCAAAATAAGCCTGAGAAATTCATCTGCATCTGCAGGATCTCTCAACATGAACTTGAGTTATCCTCAGATGATAGATTTTTGTTTTCAGCTACTTTTTGTCAACTGGGCTACCACAAAGTTTTGCAAGTGATTCCCAGATGATGAATCCTAAAAACATTGTCAATATGATAACATTACTATTAACACTACCAGGTAAATGCCATATCTAAAGTATCATTTGGACATATGCTAAAGAGCACAAACTTCAATACAGACATTCTTGGTCCTCAGATGAGGATGGCTATCTCTAAGATAAAGTGAAGTCCAACTGAGTAGAAGTAAAAGTATAGAGCACTAACTCAAAATCATTTAAAGACAAAACAGATTTATGCACAGCTTAATCAGATTAAGCTCACAATTTGTTTTTTTTTTGCAGAGTCGGACTTCTCTCATTGTATATCGTCTACATGCAGCTGTGAAAATTGAATTATTTACGTGAACGTGTCCTCCTCCCCAAAACTAGGGGGAAATATGTGTCTTTTCAGCTGTGGTGTTTCTGGTTGACCCCATACAACTGTCAACAACAACAGTTAAGGACATCACGCCAACAGTCGAGTTTCAGAGTTTCAGAGAGCTTTTATTGATTCTTTGCAGAGATAAGTAGATTTGTGTATCATCTGCAGAAAGATGGTAAGAGACACCATGTTTTTTTTTAATCAAATTCAGAGGAACGAGGTAAAGTGCAAACAGTATAGGCCCAAGAACCGAACCTTGGGGTGCGCCACTCTACCCAATGCCAATTATGATGCAAAAAATTACATATCAAGTTTTATTATTTTATTAAGTCCCAAGGGGGTTCATCTGTTTCACTTTGGTGGCTGTCTTCACAGCTGATAATTTGCACCAATGTTCATGGCCCCTAAATGGTCCCACGTTTCTGTCAGTCTGCCCCAGGGCAGCTGTGACTAAAGTAGTTTAACACCACCAAGGTGTGACTGTGTGAGCGAATGAATGATGTATCCAATGTAAAGTGCTATATGAAATCTGACGACCCTTGGTATTTCCTGCAGCAGGGGAAAGATGAAACATATTTAATTCAGTTTTATTAATCAGGTTTAAATCATTTTACTCTTCTGTGTCACCAACAGCAAGTCAAAGTTTTTATTTAACATTTAATATTCCAAATGATAAATATATATTGGTACACACTTTTGTAAAGCCATTCATAGTACCCAGAGGATGGACCATGTTACTTTAGTGATCCTCTCACATTTTTGTCTCAAACCGCCGTGTTATTTACATTTTCTATTTCGGGCGTAGACTCTCAACAACTTCTGGGTTGATTGTCATGAAGTCAGCAGAGATGTTCATGCCTCCCAGAACATGAGATGCAATATTCTTACTCTCCCCAAGCGCCATCACCAGGTTACAAATTCAGTTATTCTAAAAATTTGGGTTGTGACCACATACTAGAAATTTTAATGACGTTTCCCCACAGCCTCAAGCTGTAATAAGGGCTAATTAGCAAATGTTAGCCCACTTCCACTTGAGACTAAAACGGCGCACATGAATATTATAAGTGCTTATTATCTTCACAAAAGCGTAAGCCCTCGTAGAGCTGTGAGCTTGGTTCTTGACTCCAAGTCTCAGAAAGTTTCATACATAAAACCCATTTGTTGTTTATGTGACTTTGATTGCCAGGGCTTTTGTGTTATTGCTTTTTTTTTTGTCAACCCATGCTTTTTCTTGGTGACAGTAAACAATCACACTGATTTCCCCAATGCTTGTTCACAGCCAACAAACCCTGTAATGAAAGAGCGCCAAACCCAAAACCCTGCAGATCCTGCGAGCTGTGGTTGGGAAATACTTTCACTCCACCGTACAATGAGTGTGTGAGAAATAGATGTGAATGAGACTCTTCTCACAGTATATCATTTAAAAGCTACAGTCCAATCTTGGGAACAAACATTATTCTCACAGGCCTTGTTGTTGTGGAGTGTCCTCCAACATGTTTGGGGTCATGACGCTGATTTATGATGATGGCACACTGGAAGGGCTGTACAAACTAATCTGTTCTGGTTTTCCTGACTGGAAAGATTACAGAGCCCCCGATGTGATGGCGACAAAAGTGTCACCACACATATCTCCACATCGCCTCTGTCTCCTGGTTGCTATAAACAATCGAAAGCAACAATTGGAGGCATTTCTTGATGCATGGCTCTGGGGAAGATGGGGCTGTCTGATACGGCGCTAATTTGAATGTCGCGGTGATGTATAGCCGCTGAAGGTTTTCACATTTCTGTGTCAGACCTTGATTTGAGGTTTTGGTGTGTATAGGGCTCGTTTTAAGATTGAAGTGCATTTGTCTGGGAAGAGAAACTGAGGTTTGAGGTTGTGTCATCAGATATAAAGTCAATGAGAGCTGGTCTTTTCTCAATGGATGTACAATACTTCATCACTGCTAAAAAAGCCAGACTATATGGAGATATAACTCTGACTGAATGAATTAAACCTGTCAAAACATGTGATTAGAGAACCATTCTGCTGTGATATATGAAACCATCTGTATTAAAGAAGAGGATAAATAACTGGCTTGTTTTGCCTTGAGAAAACATCAGAAGGATTTAGAGACTCTTATATAACTTTGTTTGCATTTCACAAAGTTTTTTCCCATTGATATAATTTGCTTTCTTTTTGCAGTTTGAGTATTTTAGAAGACTCTCTGAGCAGCATGACTAATATACAAACTTTTCTCTTTAATCCAAGCTCGCCTTGAGGAATACTGTTCCTGGCTGCAGTTAGAGGGTTCACAAACAAAGATAAATAAGATACACAAGTTTCAAAGAGCCCCCAAAACCCCACATCTATGAAACTGTTGGACAAGAGTTGGTTTGCATGTCAAGTTACTTAAAAACAGAAAGACCTCTAAAAGCGCCACGGGTCCCTGCTGGATTGTTGCCTCCAACGTTTGCTGTAAACTATTTAAAATACAGTAAAAACACGCAAAATCGAAGACAACTCATTCAAAAATTCCCATAAATCTTTGAGATAGGGGCTCTTTTAAGATGTTTGTTGTTCAACAACACAAAAATTTAAAGCAGCTGTGAAGAATTTTTGGTTTTCTGTAACAGGCTGAGAAACGGGAATGTTGATGACAATCGAGCACCAGTCGACATGAGTTTAATACTCGATATTTGCCAATTTTTTTGCGATTATTGCTGTCAACAACTTTGTGTCCAAACCTCATTTTATTCGATTTAGGAGGTCCTTAGAAAGTACATTTATTAAGTCATTATGTTTTAATGACAAATGTAACAAAATTATCCGTTGTAACAGAGCTCTGGTTGTAATTTTTTCTACAGTCATATCTTCTTCCTTCAGCGTGACCCTCCTGGTGGCTTTGAATAATACGTAGGATGCGTCAATCTCCATGACAACAGGTTAGCCTTTCTCTACCGCTCTGGCCTGGAGTTTTTGGTCCACGTTGTTGGCATGTGCAAACAGTAGAAAGGCACCGTGGGAAATGGGGACATCAATAACCCAAAAACCAAAAGTAGATATTTTGTTTTCGTTTCTCTATTATATATTCTGTTTTGAAATGAAAATACGAAAAAAAACCACTAATCTTTTATTTTTTGTTTACATAGAAAAACAAATAAACAAAATATTGACTCGTTTTTTTCGTTTACTAGATTGAATGGATGGATAATACATGGACCCAGGAGCGTATTTTTCGAGCACGCTTGCAGTGCAACATGACGGCCTCTCAGATTATCCTGAGGATGACAGATTCAATGAGCCAACCCTCGTTCTCTGATCTCTGATCTGTTTTGAAACACTGACAATGATCTTTTGATAGCTTTAAATGTGAATCTAAATTTTGTATTTTTTTTCCTTAAATCTTTCACTTTCTTTTCTATTTGTTCTCTTGGTCTCGTGTTTTGTCTTCAAAGTACTTTGCACAATTCAAAGGTTGCTTGGCAATGAACTTTTTTTAAGCTCTCTTTGGTCCACATCTCACATCAAGCAGACTACATCCAATGATTCATCTTTCCTCTTTTTTTTTGGCGGTTGTCTATGGCAATTTTCACAACTGCAAACTGCCTTTCCAAAACATCCTCAGAACTGGATGAAATAAACCCCTCTGTTTTCAAGTGCGGGAAAGTTTTCACCAAACTGTGTGTGTCTCGTTTTTTTCGAGATGGCTGATTTTGGATCACACAGATAGATCAGACCGATATGTGTCCACAGGCCTGAAGGTGAGTAAGTGTCTGAATAAGGACTGTAAAGGAGTTTGTAGTGTAGCAGTAAATAAAAGTTGATTAGAAGAGAGCCTTTAAGTTTCTTCTATCTCTGTAACTTTGGTTGAGATTCGTCATCAGGCAGATTTCTGATCAAGATAGAGTCCCTGAATGTTTGATTCCCTCCAACCAAAATGATATCTGTGCATGCAGAAGTAGTCAAAGATTTCATTCAGCTCTCAGAGCCACAATACTCCTTTGCCTCTTTGTATCTCTGTGGGTGTGCGAGGGTCTTGTTCCTGTGTGTGTATGTGTGTGTGGGTGGTGGCTGCCTGTACGTTAGTTTGAGGTGGGTCTGGCATTTAGATTTAACTGTCAGCGTCTCAACAAAACAACAACAGACACGCGTTGCGTCTGATGTCTTCACATGTCTTTCAGTTCAAAGAGCTCTGGAGACACAGACGCCTGTTTCTAAAGGACAAGGACAGAGTTACACAACCATGGACTGATCTCAGAGATGATCAGACGCCCCGATGGAAAATGTCTTTTTCCACTCGAATATGATAAGCTCTAACATCCTCTCTGTAGCTGCTGAATTTGGTTTGCAGGTGTTTGGTTTGAAGATTGCACAATTGATTTACTTTAAATCTCATACATGAGACTTTTATATCCAAGCTAGTCTCACCTGCTTTGTTTTACAGTTTATCTCAGCTGTATAGACTGAGTACACTAAGATGAGTTCATTTAGAGTCATTTAACCATATTTTATCTCAGTTTTTGTTCCGTTATTGGTGTATTTTAACTGTTAACTGTTGAGCTTGACAGCCAGGTAGTAAACACAACGTTGACAGATGAATAAAGTACGCAAATAAGACAAACAAGGCAAATCAAATCAGACAATAGTAGTAATAGTGACTGTTTTCATGGCTCGACATAGCCTACATCCAGATAGCCTCTTGCTAACTTGTTTGTTTTAGTTTGTTACAGGCCAACCAATCAATGGACTGAAATCATCTCCACCCACTGGAGAGGAGGCTGACATGATTATGTTAATAATTCGATTCTTTCTTGGTGCATGTAAACTGGGGCAAGGACAGTTAAATTGCCTGATCAAGTTATACTTTTGTAGCTCAACTTAACGTTATAAATACTCACTGAGCATTTTTGGTCTAAAAGAGGTCTAATAGACGTCTAAATGTAGCCTAGATGACTAGTCTAAAATCAGGCTACTGCAGGTCTAAAAATTTAAGTTTTTTAGATGTCCAAATTTAGAACAAGTTTAGACTAAATCTAAATCTGGGCTATATCATTACTATACTGTATATGTTAATGAATATACAGAAACCAAAATAAAGGTTTGTATTAAATTGGACATAAATAATTATTTCATTTCATTACTTTCATTCACTTTAATTCATATGTATAGCTAGCCAGATAGATAGATAGATAGATAGATAGATAGATAGATAGATAGATAGACATATTCACTTAAAAAATGAGAATTTAAATTTCTTACCATTCTCATAAAGTACAAACGTGATCTAAACCTTGAGATCAGATATTTGGTTTAATGGTTGGATGGCGAGTGGAGGACTGGGGATGAAAAATAAAGTTTCTGAAGTTTTGGTACAAGTTTTATGTGGATTATGTGTATTAAATGGATTACATTCGCAAGAAAACATTAATGTGGATTTAACATTGAATATGTTAATAAGAGACTAGATTATGTATCATAAATCAATGACGCCAGGAAAGAATCATATTTTCTCACAGCCAATTAAGTGAGAAACTTTCGTCACACGTCACAGTACGACTTTGGATTGAGTAAAATATCTGTTTGAACAGAAGTCGTGGATCCGGGGGGAATAATTCAGACAGAACATTAGGCGCAGGTCGTCTTCAGGCTTTATAGTGGATTGAATAATTTAAAAACTAATCACAGATCCTAAAATCTAACATGCATGGCCGACCAATGAAACATCTGCACCCTGCATTTGCGTCGTGAGTTTTCCGGAGGGGAGAGAATTACAGTAGTCAGCTGCTGATAAAAGCAGCTGCCTTTCAGTGTCTGGCGCTACTTCTGAGGAGATAAAAGGCAGTTTTGGTGATTTTTCTGAAGTGAAATTCAAGTCAGGATCAAAAAGCACACCAAGGATACTCGCTCGGGGCTTCATGTTCAGTGCCAGGGATTTTGGGTGTATGGCTTCACTCTCTCTCTCTCTCTCTCTTTCTGGGCCTTGTGATGAAACCAAGAAAGTTTAATGTTGAAGCAGAGTGTCAAACAGAGATCATTCAGAGGCAGAGGGAACAATGCAAATCGAATCAAGAGCTCAAATTTGTATTTGTTTTCACGTCAGGACAGTTTGTTTTTAGAGCTTTCAAACTTCTGCTGGAATTTCAACTCCAACTTTTGTCCAAATGTTTTATACTCAGAGTTAAGTTAGTTAACTTTTAAAAGTAGAAGAAACTATGTCAAAATAAGTGCTTTTTTAAAGAACAACATGAGGTTTGAATATTTTGCATGAGACTTGACCTGGAAAACTGGTGTCAACATCAGAGAACTGTCTCCGACACGAGGTGTAAAAATGAATCTCATCTTATCGTTGAGTTTATTTTGTACACATAAAGTACATTTTGTAAGTGTCTGCATTCTCATTTCATCTGTAAGTTTAACTTTGCATATATTTGGCTTTAAGGCAGTGAGCTTTCGAAGCATGTTAATTTTCCAAAGTTTCTCAGGGGACTCCTTGAGTGACATTTTGATACTTCTTCCTCTTCTTCTTCCTCTTCTTCTTCTCTGTTCAGAAACATAAAAACTTGCAAACCTATTTCCATATCTGATCCTTTAGTGTGATCAGCTTTTAACCAGGTGCAGCCTAAACTTACAAAACACATGAACCACAGCCCGACCTGCCAGGTAGAAACTTGGTAGTCATGAAATTGAATTTCCTCGGCTGCTCCCCGCCTGTGTCTCGGGGCTGAAAGTTGGGCTGTTTTATACAGTCAAAGGCTCAGGCACACAGAGATACCACACCATCCTTTACCTCCTTTGATGTTGGCGAGCACCTGGGGGGCCAGAATATGGAGAATTTGTTGATTACAGGGTCCTGTATTCAGTACACACACACTGTTAGTGGGTGCAGAGAGGTAGTGTATAGCAGGAGGCTCGGCGTGGCAGTTTGAGAGTTTGTGGTAAAAGTCTGGCTGGGCCGCAACTCTTCTCCTTCTGCCAAGCCTGTGGTTTTATATTGTGATCATCAACAGCAGATGTGAATCAGAATATAAGCTTGTCTTGATCAGTGTGGCTAGAAATCTTTCCTTGGGCTGGTTTTGGAGGATTGTATGTCTCATGGTGAACGCTTTTATCCAAGCGCCCGATCGACACTCAGAGAGTACAGCTCTGTCTAACTTGCATGAGGTTTGCCTTTAAAGTAGCTATCTTCTTTTTTCAAGTTTTATTTTTGGGCTTTTTTGTCTTTATTGAGAGATACGCAAGTAAATGGAGATATAGAGTAGTGAATGACATGCAGCAAGGGTTTTTCTGGTTGGAATCAAAGTGGTCATAGTCTCTGTACTATTTAGCTGCAAAGTCAAACCAATGACCC